AGTGGTGTTGTAAGGGAAATTGGTAATGTCGAAAGAACCTGCCGCTTTTTGTACCCTCATCGCGACGCGAGCGGGACTCAAATCGCGATTCGCAAATGCATCACTCGGGTCGCGCGCTGACTCAGGCGTCAAGAAATTAACCAAGCAGCGGCAGCCACATGGGCAAAAGCAAACATTGAGTCAACGCATAAAGGGAACGAGTCAACTCACCGAAGCTCGTTGACCATATCGTTTCAACCGATTTCTCACGTCACGAAACGAGAAGCTTGAATCCCCGGTTCAAGGTGCCCATTACAAGGCATCGTAAACGATACACAACAGCCGCTTTTCAAAGAGCTGGCATATCCTCGGATCTACAATGTTCCATCACAATAACGCGAGTGGGTAGTAACATAGAAAATATATGAATCAAACATCACCTGTGGATAAGACAATCAATTAAATATCTGGCCACTTGGAACACCCATTTCAAAGCATGCATGTATTATTAGCCTTTATTTGATGCTCATGTATGTTAGCCCAAAACCGAAGGACCTTGTTTTCCAGTTGAGCTGCAGATTACTGCTCTTGCACACATGTTCCAGTCCAGTTACGGTACTGTAGATTAGCCCTCCTGCTTCCCCCCACCTTCCCCTGCCCCATTGCCCATCATCTCCTCATGCCTTATCCATAACTCCTCATGCATCTCCTCTCAACAGCCTAGCTTGCAATGCCCCTGCTGCCACAGCAGCAGAAGCACCCGACCCTGGGGCTCCCATGTTAGAAGACTAATTTAGCTAGGAAGGAAGGGGGCCATGAAATGGCGAGAGGTTTAGGAGCTAGGAGCTAGGAGAGAAAGTTGACGAGAGGAAAATGTGAGAAACTAGGAAGAGAGAGGCATACAAGGAGGGAGTTGTTCCCTCTACAGTAGAGTTCGGTAACCTACCAAGCCTACCAATTATATAACAAAATATATAATTTAACACACCCCCTAGGCTTGGTAGTCACAAGCCCACCCCCACATGCAACACCTCTAAGCCTAGCACCCCCATACCCTGCAGCAGAGGTGACTGCAGGGAAGGAAGGCGCTAGGCATCCTCGAGCTGCGGCGGGGCGGAGCCGGCTGGCGTTGCGAGTTGGGACCGACGCTGCGAGCTGGGACCAACGCAGCGAGCTGGGTCCGTTGGGACCGACGCGGCGAGCTGGGTCCGACGCGGCGAGCTGGGTCCGACGCGGCGAGCGGGGTCCGACGGGACTAGCTGAGGAGACGCGGCGAGCTGGAGTGCGGGCTTGCTGCCTGGTGCCTAAACCAGTGAGTAACCCACTACCCCCCGTGCGCTGACGCGACGACGACGGCACGGCGGCACGACGGAGCCACGACGAAGCCGCCGCGTCGAGGCTGCCGCGGCAGCATGACAAAGCCGCCATGGCAGCACGACACGGCCGCCACGGCGACGTGAACTATTTACTCTGATTAGTATGAAATCTCAGACCGGTGTAATGTGCGAACCTTAATTTCCATACAACCCATTTTCCCAGTCCTGATTGATTCAGAGTAAGGTTTTGGGGATCCTAAACAATTCAGACCTGACGCTAAGGTAGTACTGAGGTTCCAGAGTGCAGCGCGTACGGACCCTGAACCGACTTCCCTGGGGTCCGCAGGTTCCCCCGAAATTTTGCCCACCATCAGTGCTTCCCGTCCGCGTCACGTGCAGAATCCACACTCAGCAGGAAATCCCGCCAAGTCCAACGTGTACTCTGCCCACAGTGGACACTTTCCCACGCAGCGCGGCATAATGCTGCCATGCCAAACCTGTAAGGACTGCAGATTCTGCTCTGACGCTCTCTGTGCATGCGTGAAACTCGGGCCCCAAACCCTATCTGCCAGCCTTCCTGAGGTTGGGCAACTACCCGATTGGCTGCAAATGCAGCCAACACGTCGATGGCTGCATGGTGTTGGGTTGTGCAAGGACAGGCCCGAAGACCGCGTAGCGCCTTTCAAGAAAGGTGCGACACGGGTTTGATGTCTCCCTTCTTCTCCTATCGTTCCTTACTCATCTGTCTGATTCACACTGCTTCATGTTTTATAGGAGGAGTCCTTTCATCTCCTCATTCTCTGTCTCACACGCATAGCTATAATCGCATCATTTAGTTCCCCCCGTTGTTTCACCTCTCGCCATGCCTAACACAGGTGGCGTCGACAATGCTCCTGCTGATGGTGATGAGCCGTACAGTCGAAAGGAGCCTGCCGTAGCACCTAGGAGAGGCTTAGATTTCTTGCGGCCCATCGCCGCACATGTTCCCCCCCCATCGGTCGCCCCAGCCGCAGTCGACGAACCACCGCGCGTCGAGCCACCGTTGCCATGTAGTCATGCCTCCGCTCCCTACGTTCTCCCACCAGCTGTAACATCTTCTAGCAGAGGGCCTGTAAAAGATCCTATCGACTGCGCCACCGCATCAACCGTTCCGTACAGCGTTCCGTGCGCGTCTACCATGTCTTTGGCGAAGAAACAACGCACGACAAAGTACACGCAACAGCGGATTAACCTTGGTGGCCAGATTCGCCCCCATTCACCACCGCGCTCACCTCCCCCTATCACCCGCCCTGATGAACCACCGCCACCGAAGTTAAGTACTAAGGAGATAATCGAGCAGAAGTACCTGATCACTGAAGCTAAGTACAAGAATGATTGGCTTCGCTACTTCCCGTGGCTAATACTTACCCGTACTAAGGATGGGTACCCTGCCCTTAAGTGCAGTGTTTGCCGAGCTCTCGGCAAGGAGACGACGAAGTACTCGAGCCCAAGCGAAGGCGAGCAAGATCTCCAGACCCAGACGATGTGCATCCACGAACACTCTACGGTCCATGAAGACGCGGTTCACCGACAGTTGGAGATACAACAAGACATCAATGACAAGCAGCAGAAGATAACGAGTTTTGCTACCGAAGATGTCGAGGGTCGTCACGTCATCCGTCTCTTGCGGTGCGTCGAATTTCTTTGGAAGAGCGATGCTCCTATCGCCATGTTTCCATGACTGCTCCGTTTCATGGCAGAGCAAGACACGCCTGACATTCCTCTACAGTCATACGGAGTGTATCTGACCAGGTGAGGTTACGATGTTATCGCTCAGCGTCTGTTGAATTTCTGTTGTTTCCCATATGTTGCCGTATTCTAACGAGTGACTGTCCCTCATCATGCCTCTGCAGGTACAGGTTCCAGCAGATGGTCAACTGTTCTGTCAATACATCTGCTGGCAACTCAGATGGAGCACATCAAGAGCTCACCCTACCTCGGCATCCCATGCGATGAGAGCACCGACCGCATGCGAGGGAAGCACCTGATTGTCTACATCGCCTTCATGCGTCTGCGTCGAGTCATTACGGAATTCCTCGCTCTGCTAACCGTGGACAAGTGTGATGCAGCTTCTCTGATGTCCATTCTCCTAATGCACCTGGAGTCGTCCGGCATCGATTTTCAACGCATCGTCAACATCAGCACTGATGGAGCGTCAGTGATGGTCGATCGTGTCAACGGCCTTATTGCGCGCCTGCGTGACATCATCCCACACCTCGTTTCTTCCCACTGCATTGCCCACATTTTTGTGGTACTATTGTGAACAGCTTCGTTCTCGGGATTTGTGTCCGTGTGCTAACCAACGTCCTTGTGTATACAGTACTTGCAGGGAAGCCCTAGCTGTGAAGGATGCTGCCGCCTCATGTCCATAACTCAACATGGTTGATAAGGTTACTCGCACCCTTGCGGACCTTCTCGGCCGGTCGAGCGTCTGGAGCAGACGCTTCAAGTACCTCCAGGGCGCGATTCACAGCACTAACTTGGAGGTGCAAGGCATCCATCAAGTTCGATAGTTGTCTAGGGGTGAGGCCATCCGACGCCTGTGTAAGGTGTTGGGTGCTTCGATTGTGCTGCTGTATGAGTATGAGCATCCTCTGTATGAAGTTGTGACCTCGTATAAGTTTTAGTTCAGCCTCTTCTACCTGGCAGACATGCTCGCAGTCATGAACGACCTCAACCTCAAGTTCCAGAAACGTGAGGTGAGCTGTTAAAGGCTGCGATGGTGGTGTTCTCCTCCTCTATTTGTATTAATATCTCCTTTGGTTCTCTGTCACCGTGTGTCCCCCACCCCAAACCGCAGGTCGACGTGACCGAGGTATCAACGGACATCGACGAGACGTTCGGGGATCTGCGACACCGGTATGTCGAGTGTGGGGAGGTTTTCAGTGCCGGCGCCAAAAACACTTGGCTGTCGGCATTCCTAACAGTGTACGGGCACGGGGGGTCGAAGCGTGTGAAGTTGCACGGCGTCGACAAGGAGGGGAACCCGGTCACCCACACGTACAAGGTGCACGAGCGGCATCTCGACAAGCACCAATACGGGAGCAGCTACTCGGACTGTGCCCTGCTGTGCCAGAAACATGCGAAGGAGACCATGAGCAACGTACAACATCGTATGCACGATCTGAGGAAGATGTCGCCGACGAAGCTGTGGGTGGCGGCGAAGTGGTCGAGACAGCGTGCGCAATGCGATAAGAAAACCAGAGAGTACACAGAGTCAGCCAAGTCAAGTCAACTGCAATGATCCTGACAGGGAGAGGACACAGCGAGAACGTGCTTTCTTCTTATTCACACCCCACCTCTGCTCCTCTCTCATCACCTCACCTCTTCCCTTCCCCGTCCATCCCTCCCCTTACATCCCCCATGGCAGCATTGTGGCAGCAACAGGGGTGGAGAAGGACCCAGTGTCTGTCTCATGCCGCGACCCTGACAGGGAGAAGACACAGCCCCCGTGTGCCTTCTTCTGTGGTGGGGGGATCCTTTCCCCTGAGTCCTTCAAGTGGTTACCAGCCGTGACGCTTGACACGCTGGAGAGAGTTGGACCTCCGTAACATGTAACTTGCTTGGTGCCCATTGTTATGTTGCGTGATTTTATCGAGCTTGGGGACAAGCATACACATTCTCGGAAAACAGAAGATGCCATCGTCACCAGTGACCCCTTCCAATAAGAATTCAAGCACAAATACTCTGCCTATATGCTCTGCAGGGCACCAAAGGACTACATTGGGTGAGGAGGTTGGACGAAGCAGCACTCAGCAAGCACTCGGCTGGAGGTGCTGCTGCGGCCAAGCTCCTACCAGGTCTGACAGAAATAGATACACGCCACAATCTGACGCACATGAGGACGCTACTGTGGCCATGTGTATTCTCCTCGTCCCTTCAACGCCCCATGCCTCCGCCCATACCACCATCCGTGCCTCCACCCATACCACCATCCATGCCTCCGCCCATACCACCATCCGTGCCTCCACCCATACCACCATCCATGCCTCCGCCCATACCACCATCCGTGCCTCCACCCATACCACCATCCATGCCTCCGCCCATACCACCACCCGTACCTCCGCCCATACCACCATCCGTGCCTCCGCCCATACCACCATCCGTGCATCCGCCCATGCCACCATCCATGCCTCCGCCGATGCCCCCCCCAGGACTCATGCCTGCTTCTGATCCAGGAGCAGATGACCCAATTCCGCCCATGGCCCCCCCAGGTCCGCCCATGGCACCCCCAGGTCTGCCGATGGCCTCCCCAGGTCCGCCCATGCCCCCTCCAGGGCCCATGGCTGCGTCTGACCCGGGAGCAGATGACCCAGGTCCGCCCATGCTGCCCCCATTTCCGCCCATGCTTCCCCCAGGTCCGCCCGTGCTGCCCCCAGGTCCGCCCATGCTCCCCCCAGGTCCGCCCATGCTCCCCCCAGGTCCGCCCATGCTACCCCCAGGTCCGCCCATGCTTCCTCCAGGGCCGCCCATTCCCCCGCCGCTCATTCCGCCACCGATTCTGCCGCCCATCCCAGGTCCGCCCTGTCTGGGTGCTACCTGCGACTCTGGGGCAAACGATCCCGAGCCGCGCCCTCCCATTCCGCCACCCATGCCTACCCCCATTCCTCCTCCGCCCATGCCCCCTCCGCCCATTCCTCCTCCGCCCATCCCGCCGCCACCCAAGCTCCCCCCAGGTCCGCCCATTCCGCCACCCATCCCAGGTCCGCCCTGTCCGGGTGCAGCCTGTGACCCTGGAGCAAATGACCCCGAGCCGCGCCCTCCCATTCCGCCACCCATCCCTTCGCCCATACCTCCTGCGCCCATTTGACCTCCGCCCATCCCACCGCCGCCCATTCCGCCGCCACCCATGCTCGCCCCAGGTCCGCCCATTCCTCCGCCCATCCCAGGTCCGCCCTGTCCGGGTGCTGCCTGCGACCCTGGAGCAAACGATCCCGAGCCGCGCCCTCCCATTCTGCCATCCATGCCTCCCCCCATACCTCGTGCGCCCATTTGTCCTCCGCCCATTCCTCCTCCGCCCATATCTCCGCCTCCCATTCCTCCTCCGCCCATCCCGCCGCCGCCCATTCCGCCACCACCCATTCCGCCGCCACCCATTCCACCGCCACCCATTCCGCCGCCGCCGCCCATACCGCCACCGCCCATTCCGCCGCCGCCCATCCCGCCGCCGCTCATTCCGCCGACACCCATGCTCACCCCAGGTCCGCCGACTCCGCCGCCCATCCCAGGTCCGCCCTGTCCGGGTGCTGCCTGCGACCCTGGAGCAAACGATCCCGAGCCGCGCCCTCCCATTCCGCCACCCATGCCTCCCCCCATACCTCCTGCGCCCATTTGTCCTCCGCCCATTCCTCCGCCTCCCATTCCGCTGTCTCCCATTCCGCCGCCACCCATTCCTCCTCCGCCCATCCCGCCGCCGCCCATTCCGCCGCCACCCATTCCGCCGCCGCCCATTCCACCGCCACCCATTCCGCCGCCGCCCATTCCGCCGCCGCCGCCCATCCCGCCGCTTCTCATTCCGCCGCTTCCCATCCCGCCGCCGCTAATTCCGCCTCCGCCCATTCCGCTGCCTCCCGTTCCGCCGCCGCCCATTCCCCCGCCGATTCCGCCGCCGCTCATTTCGCCGCTGCCCATTCCACCGCCTCCCATTCCGCTGCCTCCCATTCCGCCGCCACCCATTCCCCCGCCACCCATCGCGCTTCCGCCCATTCCGCTGCCCTGCTGCTGGCCGTTCGATCGTCCGCCTCGCGCATTTCCGCCCATCATTCCGCGCAGCTTTTCCACGCGGAGTCCCGCGGGGAAGCGAAATGCGAAGGCGGCGTGGAGGGACGAGAGCAGGACGAGGGAGATGAGGAGAAGGCAGGTGCTCCGATCCTGACCATCCTTAGTAGTCAGGATAGTACGGCGGCGATGCTGACTAAGCGAGAGAGAGAATCCCAGTGCCATGGCGGCTGGTGTTGCCGACGTTGCAGCGGGAATTTCCCAAGTTAGGAGGAGTCTAGTTGCCGCGAGAGGGTTCTAGTTCGTTGTCGCGTGTCAAGAATATGATATGATTCTGGTACCTTTCTGAAGTGTGAGTGGTGTTGTAAGGGAAATTGGTAATGTCGAAAGAACCTGCCGCTTTTTGTACCCTCATCGCGACGCGAGCGGGACTCAAATCGCGATTCGCAAATGCATCACTCGGGTCGCGCGCTGACTCAGGCGTCAAGAAATTAACCAAGCAGCGGCAGCCACATGGGCAAAAGCAAACATTGAGTCAACGCATAAAGGGAACGAGTCAACTCACCGAAGCTCGTTGACCATATCGTTTCAACCGATTTCTCACGTCACGAAACGAGAAGCTTGAATCCCCGGTTCAAGGTGCCCATTACAAGACATCGTAAACGATACACAACAGCCGCTTTTCAAAGAGCTGGCACATCCTCAGATCTACAATGTTCCATCACAATAACGCGAGTGGGTAGTAACATAGAAAATATATGAATCAAACATCACCTGTGGATAAGACAATCAATTCAATATCTGGCCACTTGGAACACCCATTTCAAAGCATGCATGTATTATTAGCCTTTATTTGATGCTCATGTATGTTAGCCCAAAACTTTAGGACCACGTTTTCCAATTGAGCTGCGGATAACTGCTCTTGCTCCTATGTTCCAGTCCAGTTACGGTACTGTAGATTAGCCCTCCTGCTTCCCCCCTGTTAAAGTAGGGAAGTAGGGTTTAGGTAGGTAGAGAGAAGTTGAGCAAGAGAAAAGAGGGGAGAACTTGACAAGAGAGAGAGATACAAGAAGGGTGTTGTGTTGTACCCTCTATAGTAGGAACCAGCACTCTGTAGTACACCTACCTAGCCTATACATATATATCTATAAAATATATATGTTGACTGACACCCCCCACCTTCCCCTGCCCCACTGCCCATCATCCCCTCATGCCTTATCCATAACTCCTCTTGCACCTCCTCTCTACAGCCTTGCTTGCAATGCCCCTGCTGCCACAGCACTAGAAGCACCCACCCCTGGGGCTCCCATACCTGGACTCCCCTAGCCTCCCCTACCAAACCTGCCACTGCAACAGGGTCCATGTGCTGAGACCGCCGCTGCTGCTGCTGCTGCTGCTGCTGTTGCTGTTGAGCCTCTTGAGCCATCAAAATGGCAACAATTTAGCCATCCCAGCAGTCATGCCCCCAGCCAGGCCCCCAGCCATGCTCCCAGCCATGCTCCCAGCCATGCCAGCCATACCTCCATCAGATACAAGAGCAGCAGGCCAAAAAAATAAAATAAAAAAAATCATTCCAATATCCTATAGGCAACATCTTCTTGTGCCTTGTCAACTACCGTAGCCGTCCAAATAACTACTCCACCGTAGGTGAAAATCGCGAGGCCGACCAGATTCGCAACAACGGAATAGAGGCTCCTTTTGCTGACGCCCTCATTGTTGAAGGTATTCGCCATTTTCTCGGCGATGCCTTGCGATGCAGTGGCGAGCGCAAGGCAGAATAGGAAGATGCCCATGAAGGTGTGCCAAGGCTTGGCAGTTTCGCGGGCGGTGTAAGTGTTGGTGGGATAGAAGAACGTGTAAAAACCAGCGATCCACTGCAGGAGGGATCGAGTTGAAGGAAAACCAATAGGTAGTGCAGAATGAGCCTTGTACAATACGGCTGCTTTTGAGGCGCCTCAAAAGGAAAGAACATACATAGTACAGTATGAGCCTTGTACGATGTGGCTGGGGAGTAAGTTATTTGGAAACGCTGGGTGGCAGGAAGAAGAAAGCAAAGCAGGGAGTGCGGTGGAGTGGATGGAGGGAAGGGGTTCGGGGAAAGGTGGGGCCGGACAACAGCTGACAGCCACATAAACCACCAGATTTAGGGTTTCATTTAGGAGCTTCCTAAAATCATCATAATAGCCCTACTAAAACCCTACTAACCTGTCAGGCGAAGAGCACAAGAACTACTGAGCCGCACCACGAGTGCCGACTGTGAAGGTGCTCAACCGAATCGAACTTGTAAGCCTTGGAACTCCACCACCCCTCCCCAGCACTAGGGTTTCAGGGTTGGGACAGATTTCTAAGAGTTGGGGTTTTAGGAGAACCTGGCAAGCTAAGTGCAGGAGAGCCACTGAGCTACAATGCGAGTGCAGGCTGTAGAGGTGCTGAACGGAAACCACCTTGAAGGACTCGAACGCTGCCGTTACTGACAAACAGCGCAGTTTTGCAAGGGTTTTAAGGGTTCGGAAGAATTTTGAAGGGTTTCGGGTTTAAGGAGCCCCTGGAAGGCGAAGAGCAGAAGAACCACTGAGCCGCACCACGAATGCAGGCTGTAGAGGTGCTGAACGGAATCGAACCGGTAAAAGCTGAACACCGCCGCCACTCCCACCAGCGCTAGGGTTAAAGGGTTTGGTATGGTTTAGGGAGTACCTGGCAGGCGAAGAGCACGAGAACCACCGAGCCGCACCAAGAATGCAGGCTGTAAAGGTGCTGAACAGAATCGATCTGGTAAAACTTGAACACGGCTGTTACTCCCACCAGCGCCAGCACCAGAGCCACGCCGTTAATCACCAGATGAGCGATCTTTCGAGCAGGTCTTGAGAAGGGGAGCAGGCGGTAGGCCAGGATTCCTGAGAGAGATCGACAGGGGAGCAAGAGTAGCAGTTGTTGAGGGGTCAGCAATGGCTACCAGCACCAGCGCCACGCTGTTGATCACCAGGAGAGCCACTTTCCACGTGGGCCTTGAGAAGGGGAGCAGGCAGTAGGCCAGGATGCGTGGCAGGGTGTGTGTAGGTGTTGTGGATTGGACAAGGCAGCACGGGAAACCGATTCTGAACAGCGCAACGTTTAGCGCGGGCCTTGGGCCTTGCGAAGGGGAGCAAGCAAGGCGAGGCGAGGATACCTGTCAGGCAGGCGAGGATAACTGTCAGGCAGGCGAGGATACCTGTGAGGCGAGGATACCTGTGAGGCGAGGATACAGGTCAGGCGAGGATACCTGTCAGGGATCAGTCATCAACTGGTGGACATGGCAGCAAGGGAAACACTTCTGAGGTGACTCAAGCATTGGCTATAGCGACACGCTGTGCCACTAAAAGTGATACATTGATATAGGCTGGAATTTTATATGTCCCTCTCTGGCCCTGATGCGGAAGGGAAGGTGCTAGGAAAGCACGAAAGCAACAACAAAGAAAGCGAAAAATAATGAAAAACGGAGTTCCAAAAGCGAAGATGTAGTTTTTGCATTGTTCATTTATAACGAAGGCGTAGAGAAAAGGTGAATGGGGTTGGCAGTGGCCGCGAAATCAGCTGGAAGGGCACTGCGTGGTTGCACATAAGAAACTTCTTTCTTGGAAACTGAGGAATCAGCTTGAACATGAGGGAGTACGCTGGCCAAATACTAAGATTAAAGCCGACCGTCGTGAAGAGAGGATGCCACTGCCATTCATCGGTACGTCAGCGTGATGGTGAAGGGGGGATTCGTGTGTAATGAGTCGATTCAAATACGCACGTGAAGGGGGGATTCGTGTGTAATGAGTCGATTCAAATACGCACGTGAAGGGGGGATTCGTGTGTAATGAGTCGATTCAAATACGCACGTGAAGGGGGGATTCGTGTGTAATGAGTCGATTCAAATACGCACGTGAAGGGGGGATTCGTGTGTAATGAGTCGATTCAAATACGCACGTGAAGGGGGGATTCGTGTGTAATGAGTCGATTCAAATACGCACGTGAAGGGGGGATTCGTGTGTAATGAGTCGATTCAAATACGCACGTGAAGGGGGGATTCGTGTGTAATGAGTCGATTCAAATACGCACGTGAAGAGGGGATTTGTTTTTGAGTCGACTCAAATACGTCAGCATGATAGTGAAGAGGAAATTTTCTGAGAATTATAAAAAAAAACCCTCATCTAACTGAGAAAGTAGTACCTGTGTGATATGAGTTTCGCTTTTAAGTCGACTCAAAACGAAACTCATATCACACAAATAAAAAGCCTTAATCTAACTGAGCCAGTAGTACCTGGGACGGAGGCAATGATACAGCCGCTGGTCACGAAGAGCGGATGCCGCCGCCATTCAAAGTGACTTCTAAACCACCTCGTTACAATGTCCCACGACACATTTGTGTTTTGAGTCGACTCAAAAGTCACATTTTATTTTGAGTCGACTAAAAAATCACCTCATAAACGACATCGTTACAATGTCACACGACACATGTTATCGAGTCAGCTCAGAAGCTGAGAAAGTTCCTCGTTGCATCTAAGAAGGTGAGGGAGCAGTACCTTGGCCGAAGACGATGATGAAGCCGATGGTCATGAGGAGAGGATGCCACTGCCATTCACCAGCACGCCATGATAGAAAGCAGACATTGGAGATTCTAGTACGAGCAAATGAAAATTTGTCAGACTGGCCTGAAAAAGCTGGGGACACCGAAGACAAGCAATGAATTAAGAATCACGGATCAGAAAGACGCCAAGGAATTCAGCGAATTAAGAGTCACGGATACGGACATGTATTTCCCTGGTGACGCCACCGTAAAACTCCACGACCCAGTATATTATGATCCCCGCGAGCAGCAGCGCGGACGCATGGCAGGCGAGCACAGACGCGGAGGGGAAGGGGAACCCTAGCTCTGGTTTCCACCACTGCTGGCGGGACTGCTGTGCGTGAGGCGACGCCATGGCAGGCTGTGCGTGAGACGACACCAAGGGTTGCTGCGCCTCAGACGCCATGGGATGCGAACCGACGGAAGCGCGGAAATCGGGTGTAGAAGGATGGGGATAGAGGCACTAATAGAGATGTTGGTGCATTTCTATCATGAAATCTCCCCGTGCAAGTGATCGGTTATCCCAAGGAGGAGGCTGACTGACGTTTCGCGGCCTGCAGCTCCGGCTCGGCCTGCCTGCCGAGCCGAGCAGCCGAGGCTGCCAGCCAATGAAAGCCGAAGAAGCTGACATGCTCGGAATACCTCTGCCATCACTCGCTGACTAGATGCACTGAATCTGCCGCCGCCGAAATTATGCGCTGTCGAGCCCTCCGCCGTCGTTAGAATATGACGCTGTAAAGAGGGCTAGCTTTCCTTAGCGAGTGTACGTTAGCGCGTATGCTGCACACAGCCTCCTCGGTGAAAGGTTCGACCACCCCTACGCCTTTTAGCGGGTTTCCGAGCCTGAATTCGACATTTTTGTCTAGTGTACAAGCCATGGCATCGTTTACATCGTTTATACACTCCGTCAAATGTACACATATCTCATGTTAAATCTATCGTTCATATGTGCCTTAACTTCACTCACCCAATATGCGGCAAAACAATGGTAGAAGGATGTGGAACGTTCGGATTACTTCACCACATCATCAAAAAAGGCAAAAATGACACCAAAGCAGCTCTACAGAACAGAATGGAGCAATATGTTGTAAACAAACTGCGCATAAAAATCCATAGGCCCCGGAGTACAGTAATGCAGGCAATCCCGAGGCGTCTCCTCCATCCAGCTGGTATGCCCATCCGGCCTTAAAGCCATAACCCCCTCCACATCCATGTAAATTCCCCCCGCCTCTGCCACCAGCCGTTTTGCCAGCTCATTTTGCCGCATAAAACCGCCCCAATTAAACGGCAATATTTCAGCCGGCTGCCGTTCCGATAAAGGCCCCAGGTTATCGGTGCAGTTGAAATGCCCCGGCGGAGTGTTCCTGTAGATAATCAGCTTATTAGGGAAGTTTCTCCGGACGAATCGCAGCGCCCGCCGCAAGTCTTTTACATAAGCGTCATCCTTAGTAAAGTGTGCCCCTCGGTTAATCAACAGCACATCAGCATCGACCAACGCGCCGTGTTGGGACCAAGGGACGCTTTCCTTAGCCACGAAAGTGTCTCCCACTGTGAGCCACCGGTTTGAAGTGAAATGCATCGCAAAGGCGCCGGCGTCACTGCTGCTACTGCCATTCGTGCCAACATCCCCGGCAGCAGCACCAGCAGCACCAGCAGCACCAGCAGCACCAGCAGCACCTGCAACACCAGCAGCAGCACCAGCAGCTGCAGCTGCACCAGCACCAGCAGCAGCAGCATCCCCACCGAACGCCCCGGGGCAGACACTCTCTGAGGTGTTAAAGAAGTTCATGTGGCAGTGCACGTGGGGGAGGTGCTCCACCCACTGGTAGCAGATGGTGCGGTTGAGCACCCACGCCGCGCTCTTGTGCACGTGCCACAGCATGTGGTTGAGAAACGTGGCTGCAAAGAGATTCTGTAGGGAGTCTCCCACGATGTACACTGTGAACCCCTTGTGCATCCTCCGAGGATCATCCATCCATCTCTCGCCTGCTGCTGCCGGTGCCTTTTCGCCTGCCAGGGCAGATGTGCCGTTGCTCCAAAGCCGGTCGCGCCTTGTTTCGGCTGCCCGAGCTGCCCGCTTGCAGAAATCCAGCCCGTCAAATTTCCTCCATACAGGAACCTCCTCATCTTCTGCTGCTGCTTCCTTTTCACCAGCAGCAGCAGCAGCAGCATCCACACCCAGCTCTGCTTCCACTGCCTTTTTAAGCACAGCATTCCCACACTTATCCTCCGGAACTAAGTACTCGTACTTAAGTGTTTCTCTTACCGCCCACTTATCCGGACTCACCCCTTTAAGCACCAGCTCATCCGCCCCCCAAGCAGCCTTCCCCTTCCGTTTCTCCACCTGCTTATGATCACACATGTTCATAAATCCGGTGTATTCCCAGGGGAGGGTGCGAGGTGTGGCATTGAAGACCCACCTCCCCTCCCTAAGAACACACTCCATCCACTTGTTGAAAAGTAACACTTGCCGCTTGGTGTGTAACCGCGTGCCAGGGATATGGTCCGAGTAATCTGGAAAAGGAGGAGGGCGGTAGTTTCCTGTCGTCTTCTGGCCTCCACTCCCCTCCTCACTCACCCCCCCTCCCCCATCCCCTCCTCCTGCTGCTCCTCCCGCTCTTCCTCCCTCTCCTTCCCCTGTCTCATCCTCGTTTTCAGGCGGCACAGTAAGGTTATAAAGCAGGGCGTCAAACGCCCCTGCGCCCCCATCAGCAGCAGCGATCCTCTCACGGTGCTGGTCCCACTGCTGCTCGTTCAGCTCATACCAGGGGACGGCTGGGGCCCCTCGTCCTTCTCTGACCCGGGGGAGCTGCGGGTGGGGTGGGCCACTACAGGAGCGGGTTTTGTTGCTGCTGCTGCCGCTGGGGGTGCTGGCGGCGGTGGTGCTGGTATTGCTGCTGCTGGTGATGGCGGTGGTGGTGGTGGTGATGTGGGGGGTGAAGGTGTAGGGGTGGCAGGAGGGGGAGAGGAAGGGGGGGATGGTGGTGGTGGGGATGGGGATGCAGTCGAGGGGGAGGGAAGTGAAGAGGCAGACGAGCCAGCTGCCTTTGCAGTCTCATCTGCTGTTGCAGTTGCTGTTGCTGTCCTTTTCACATCGCTGAAGTGCATGCTCATGATCTCTTCGAGTGCAGCCTCCACCAGATGAACCCTGCACGACATGCCACCACCAGATGCGCCTTCCCCAGTCGAATCCGAAGGGTCGGGTTTTGCTGCAGGTGCTGCCACTGAATCGCAAGGGACAGCATACCGCACAATACCAGCAGCTGCTGCCAGGGAGCCAAACCCCTCAGGATCGCTTGCTGCTCCTCCTGCAATGGCAAAACGACAGGCAGGGAAGAGGGCAGGGGGAAGGGGGGAGTTCGAGGCAGCACCCGATAGTCATAGTATCGCAAGGGACAGCATACCGCACAATGCCAGCGGCTGCTACCGGGGAGCCAAACTTCTCAGGGTCGCTCACTTCTCCTGCTGCTATGGCATTAAAATAGGCAGGGATAAGGGCATAGGGAAGGGAGAACCAGAGGCAGCGCCGTTACCCACTGAATCAGAGGCAGCGCCGTTACCCACTGAATCAGAGGCAGCGCCGTTACCCACTGAATCAGAGGCAGCGCCGTTACCCACTGAATCAGAGGCAGCGCCGTTACCCACTGAATCAGAGGCAGCGCCGTTACCCACTGAATCAGAGGCAGCGCCGTTACCCACTGAATCAGAGGCAGCGCCGTTACCCACTGAATCAGAGGCAGCGCCGTTACCCCACTGAATCAGAGGCAGCGCCGTTACCCACTGAATCAGAGGCAGCGCCGTTACCCACTGAATCAGAGGCAGCGCCGTTACCCACTGAATCAGAGGCAGCGCCGTTACCCACTGAATCAGAGGCAGCGCCGTTGCCCACTGAATCAGAGGCAGCGCCGTTACCCACTGAATCGCAAAGAACAGCGTACTGCACAATACCAGCGGCTGCCTGCTGCCTGCCGGGGAGGCAAATCCCTGAGGATCGCTTACCGTTCCTGCTGCTATAGGGCAAGAGAGAAAAGGATCTTGACAGAGGCAACACCGGCACCAGATGCAGAAGCACGGGCAGACGCAACGGAAGAAGGCGAACAAAGAAGGACAGAGAGCATAGAGAAGTCTATTTTTTAGGCGCCACAAACATAGAAGGACAGAGAGCATAGAGAAGTCTATTTTTGAGGCGCCTCAAACGTAGAAGGACAGAGAGCATAGAGAAGTCTATTTTTGAGGCGTCTCAAACGTAGAAGGACAGAGAGCATAGAGAGGTCTATTTTTGAGGCGCCACAAACGTAGGAGGACAGAGAGCATAGAGAATGCAAGAGGGATAGCAGAGAAAACAAAGAGAGGATTCCCTGGCACAGGCTGTAGGAACAGGGATAGGACTCAACTCATGCCGCGCACAAAATCGTTGAAGTAGCAGGGAGGATTCACAGTTATACCGAGAGAATGAGGAGGCTGAAAGCAGGAGGAAGCAGGAGCTCGAGCAGGACAGCATAACGAGGGAGAAAGAGAGCAGCCAAAGGTGGCTCATGCTTCAACAGCCAAGTTCCATAACCAGTGGCATTACCAGGAGTAGAGGCATTGAGAGCAGGCGGGGGAGGAGTTCGAGCAGAGCAGCATTGAATGGCAGGAAGAGGAGGGAGGAGAGGGCGAGGCTGGAGGGTCCGATGAGGAGCCGAGCTCGGTTGAAGAGTTTTTTTACTGGTGGGGGGGAAGGGAGAGAGGTGGAAAACGTGGGGAGAAACAGGTATATGAGGAGACAGGGGGGAGGACAGGGCGATGCTTTAAGGGCTGATGAGGATCAGTGCCCGACTGAAGAGCTTCTTGACTGGTGGGGGGGATTGGGGGGAGAAGTGGGAAAAAGTGGGGAGAAAAGGGTCAGATGGGCCAGATGAGGAGACAAGAGGGAGGAGAGGGCGGGGCTGGAGGGCTGATAATGAGGGGAGCCAAGCTCGATTAGCTTCTTGGCTGTTTCAAAGGGGGGGGGGGGGGGGGGGGGGGGGGAGGAGGGGGGGGGATGGGGAGGCTGGGTAGGTGGGTGAGGGAGGGAGAAAGCCGTGGGCAAAGGGCAGGAAGAGGAGAAAGGGCGCATCTCCTCATTTGCCCTTCCAATGAGGCTTGAAGGACCGACGCGGAGAAGAGCATGCTTGAATAGCTTCTACACTGGTATGGGGGAAGGGGGGGAAGGAGGAGAGAAGGGGAGAGGAAGGAAAGAAGGAGAGGGGAGGAGAGGCGAAGGAGGAGTTAGGAGCAAGGAGGAGGCGGAGAAGCGCGAGGTGAACATGCGTGAAGGGAGAGAGCAGCCAGCTTCTAGTTTTTCTTCAACAGCAGGGATAAGCAAAACGAGGACAATTTGTAGCAAACTTAGCCATTTGTGAGTTGTAATGAGATTGGACTAAGTCAGAAGAAGCCGAGCCGACCGATTATATCAAATCGAATCAGAATTTCACCTTCATCATCAGGCCCACGTGGCGTTGATAGCTTGACATATATAGTTTTGAGGCGCCTCAAAACTACATTTATCCGCCCCAAAACTCTCCACAGCTACCCTCTTTATCTCCTCTTTTTCAGCCGTCGGATCAGCTCCCACCTTCATCCTAAGACTCCATCTTTTCTGTCCCAAACCTCTCAACCACCACCGCCTCTCTCTATCTCCCCCCTTTGAAGTTTGAAGCGAGCTGGTGTCTTAGAATTCTCACAAGCGGCATGAGTAAGAAAAGTCCTACCTTCATCCAGGCCCATGTGGCCCTGGTAAGACTCCACTTTATCCGCCCCAAACCTCTCAACAATTACCCTCTCTATCTCCTCTTCCTCCCGCACTATCCCCCTCCCCCTCCCCCTGCCGCTCCCCCCGCCGTCCCCCCACTCTCCCCCCCTCCCCCCAACCCCGTCCGCACGACCACCACCAGCCACTCTTCCCCCCCTGCTAGCCCATCCGCGGAGAGAAAGAGGGGCGGGGGGGAGCGGGGCTGGAAGGAGGCGGAGAAGGAGGGGAGGCCGTCTGGGGGGAGGAAGTGGCAGGCGCGGGCGAGGCGGAGGAGAGAAGGGGAGGGGGAGGAACAGGCGAGGAACGAGGGCTGCCTGGGGGGAGCGGGGTTTGGGGGGTGGGGGGGAGATGGGGTGGGAATAGAGGGGGGAAGCGAGAAGGTGAGAAGAGGAGGAGAGAGGAGAATCAAAGTCTATAAGAACGAGCGCTGGGAATAGGGCTGGAAGAAGGGGCGGAAGGAGGGGAGGAAGGAGGGGAGGAAGGAGGGAGGAAGGAGGGGAGGAAGGAGGGAGGAAGGAGGGAGGAAGGAGGGGAGGAAGGAGGGAGGAAGGAGGGAGGAAGGAGGGAGGAAGGAGGGAGGAAGGAGGGGTGGCCATCTGGAGGAAGGAGGCGGGCGTGGGCGTGGCCGAGAGCGGGAGGGGGAGGAGAGAGTGGGAGGGGGAGGAACAGGCGAGGAACGAGGGCTGCCTGGGGGGAGCGGGGTTTGGGAGGGGGAGGAGGGCATGGAGGAGGGGGAAGGTGCGTAGGTGCAGAGGTGAGAAACAGGAGAAAGGAGCGCTGAAAGAACGAGCGGAACGAGCGGAAGGTGAAAACGGGAGAGCACTCACAACAAAGAGCAAGTGCAGAAGAAGGGGGCGAACCCCCCTCATAATGTCCCCCCCCCCCCTCCTCCCTTGCGTGAAGTGCGTTGGCGAGTGAGTTGTGCAACGAGAGGGAGATCAAGAGAAGGGAGGGCGCTCACAACAAAGATGAAATGCACGAGGAGAGGTGGGCCTCTCTCGTGCCATAAGGGAAGGCAAACACGGGAGGGAGAGCAAGAGAAGCAATAAAGGAGAGGGAGATCGAGAGAAGGGGAGAGCACTCACAACAAAGAGGAAGTGCACAAAGAGGGGGTGAGCCTCTCTCGTGCCGTCTCCCCCTCCTTGCCCGTACTGTGGGGCCGGGTGCAGCGCTCGAGAGGCGAGGTCGAACCCAAACAGCTGATGGCTCATGTGGCGCAGCAACTGGGGGGACGCGGGGGGGGGAGGGGAGGGAGGGGGGGGGCATGGTTTTTGAGTGGACTAAGAAATCATATGCAGTGTGGAACGGGGAAGGGTGCAACGCTCGAGACGCGAGGTCGAACCCAAGCAGCTGATGGCTCATGTGGCGCAGCAACTTGGGCAGGATGGGGGGGGGGGGGAAGGGGAGGCGAGGCGGGGGCGGGAGGGAGGAAGGGGGAGACGAAGCTGGGTTGATTTCAACAGCTTGATTTTACCACAGCAACTGGGGGAAGGGGGATGGGGGAAGGGGGATGGGGAAGGGGGATGGGGGAAGGGGGATGGGGGAAGGGGAATGGGAAGGGGAGGGAGGACCGGAGGGAGGGGGAGGGGGAGGTGGGGGGGGAGGGGGGGGGGGTGGCGAGGACCCTAGAGTAAGCTAGGCATGGGGATCATTAGAGTCTGTCCCGGGCATCACAACTACAGTGGAACATATGCTAGTACTACCTGCGAGTATGGCAGCAGCATGGGGTAGTGCTCAAAGCTGGGCATGGCGTCATGCACCGCCGTGAGCACTGGCAGCAGCCACTCCACCATCCATCTGTAAGTCGCTGCTCTTCTATACTCGATAACAGGTGTCCCAGTAATATGTAACATGGCATCACCGTACCTGCGAGTATGGCAGCAGCATGGGGTAGTGTTCGAAGCTCGGCATGGCGTCATGCACCGCCATGAGTCCTGGAAGTAACCACTCCACCATCCATCTGTAAGTCGCCGCTCGCCCATGCGCAGACTCCCCCCTCGCCTCCCTCCCTTCCCCCCGTTCACTCCCCTCCGCGCCTGCTGCATGGGCGTGCGCGCGCGTGCTTATATGGGGGGGGAAGAGATGGAGCACGTGCTCGTAAACCACCGCTGTAGTCCCCTTCGGATAAGAGAACTCGCTGTTAAAACCCTCCCCGTTTCCGCTGCGCCTATCCCGGATTTCCCCGACACGTCAGCGCCACGTGGACCCCCTCCGAACACGAAGCGGTGCGTGCTGTTAAACACGTGGCCGTGCAGATCCACGTACACGTCGCGCAGCATGATGACGTGGCCCGGATAAGGCGGCAGCACGCACGATTCTAACTTCCCCGATTCCCCAGCCCCAGCAGCAGCAGCACCGGTGGCACCAGCGGCGGAAGCTTGCGGAGGGCATGTGCGGAACCATGGCGGAGGCGCGGCGGAAGCTCCCTCCGCGCGGAGCTTCTCAATGGCGGAATCGTCCAGGCAATTGGACACGGAGGGAGCGTCGGACAGCAAATTAAACAGCATGTCTTTAATCTCCTTATCCGCTGCTGACGTCATCAGTGGTCGGCTTTCGCAAAGAGCGAATTTCCCGGAGCCGCTACCGAAGGGAGTGGATCCCTCGCAAATGTGAAATTCGGGGCATTTCCCGCCTTTGCAGCCGCCCGTTGCGATGCTCTCGATCACGGAAGGATCTGAGCCGTCCAGGTAGATCGGGATCAGATCGCGACCGTTGATGTCCTCGGAGATCGCCGTGATTCCACGGTGCTTTTCTTTTATCGAGCCACTGCTTAACGGAGCGCCAGGGTCGATCACGAGTCCTCCAGGAGAAGACGGCTCTTGTTGCCGCTAAAGATCCTATATCGAGGCACGCTAGCCACATTATAACGAAGCACACAGATACCTGTTTATGGAAGATGCGGAGATACCGAGACAGGATAAAACGGCCGGCCATGGCTGCCCTTATCGAATGCGCGGATTAAAAAAGGGGAAATCGAGAGCGGTTTATAAGCGCTGGGCGATGAAGCGGCAGTCCTAGACGGCTTTTATACCACGGATAGTGCATTTAATCGGCATTTTCCTTCTCTAGACGGAATGGTGAGGGAGCCTTGGGATGATGGGATTATGGGAGTGACAACCCAGTCGGCAATCTCGAGAGGCCAGCAGTAAGGAAGTGCTAGGAGGTGGCTCTGCGCTATAAGACGATGATCTACAGTTCATCAGAGAATAAGACAACACATACACCAGGCCCTCAGATTGGTTTAGAGGTACCCTGATTGCTCAGCCCTCCCCCCCTAGAGAACCCTGTTTTTTCAGTCCCCTCCTTTTTTTTCCGCTGATTTTTCAGGGCTGTGTCAATATTTTAAGCTGGGTTTTCAGGGTGATCGAATACATTTAAGCTGAGCAGAAAACCATAGGCATTGTATTATAAGAGCAGAAAATCTACTTATCGTCTTCCTCTTCCATACACTCTACAACTACCACACCAACATCATCATCATCATCTTTCTCCTTCCCTTTCTTGCTACCACGGTCTCGGATCTGAGGAGCATTGTTGTAGGGCTTTCTCTTCTTGTATGCCCTCCATATTTCTACAACTGCTGCCCAATCGGGCTCATAGTCTAGCAAGCTAAGACACATCAGGTCCCCAAGACGTGTATCCTTCATGCTGCCACGCAAGGTACTGTTTATCTTGTTCTGGCGGGAGAACTCGCGCTCGCACTCTACGGTACTAAGAGGCAGGACGGCAACGGCACACCAGAGCTTCACCAAGTTGGGGTAACTATGCTGCCAGTCCGGTGTCTTAAGCATGGCGGTGAGACCAGTGAAGAAGCCCTTGTCACCTTTCGGAAGGGCAGCAAGAACCGGGGTGAAGTGCGGGATTTCTTTGACAGCTGCAAACTTGTCGATGCCGGGCAGGATCTCGGCAGCCTCGCCAGCATGATAGAGGTCGACGAGGGACTCGAACCAGGCAAGGCACTGGGCGTTCCGGGGAGCTCGTAGCTAGCCCACTGGCCACTCACCCGCGGCGAACATTCTGGAGTAGATCAGCTTCCCCACATCCCCCAGCCGCTCTTGTAGGTTGTTAACCAGCCCCTCCGCCAACGCCATGCACTCCACCACACAGTCATCGTGCTTCCACCCCCAGGATAGTCCGGAAGCCCTCGGTCATGCAGGATGAAGGTGAAGCGTGTTGAGCTGCCGTCGGACTTCAGGCCTTCAACGGTGACGCTTCGCGAACCGCTAGGGCCGTGACGGGTGAGGAATCCTATGAGGCGGTCTTTCAGCCCCCCGGTGAAGTCGTCGCCGTAGTCGACGTAGCGGCTTAGAAGGAGGGACTTCACGCGGCTGATTGCCGAGTTGATGGAGCCGAAGTCCAGCTGCGAGCGGGGGGACATAGACATGTTGTACAGCCGCTTGTCAGGAAACTCTGAGAGCATGACAATGATTGCAGGGAGAACATTGACAAGACGAATGACAGCGTCACCTCGAGACAGCCACCGAACGTGAAAAATGCCCTGCATCTCGAGTGACGTTGCCACGGTCCCGAACGACCAAGGAACTCGGCCAGTTCACGAATCACATCGTCGATGATCTTGAAACCGGGCACCTCTTCTGCAGCCGCCTTCACAGCCAGTGCCTCTCTGCGCACACACAAATGATGCACGATACATAAGGGTGTTAATACGTACAAAGACCCGTTTAAGTAAACGCCACTCATATAAAAAAAGGACGCTTACACCAAGTGAGGAATCTGGTGTCGCAGGCGCGTCACCAGACCCCCTTTCACTCCCATCATCACAGCCGCACCATCGGTGCTGATGCCGGAGACCCACCGCAGGTCTACGCCGATCGCCCCCAAGTGTGAGAGCAACAGAGCGAGCAGGGACGCAGCGTCCGCCTTGTCCACCGTGATCAGAGTGAGATACTCGCAGACGACACGATACTCACGAATGAATGTAGCGAAGACTATCTGATGTTTCCCCCTGCAGCGATTCGTGCTCTCATCTAGACTGATGCCGATGAATGGGCTTCGAAGCAAGTGCTCGAGTTGCGTGGTCTGTAGCCAGGTTGTGGTTGACAGGGTGAACTCCCCGAAGCCATAACTGCCAACCAGGATACAACACGTGGAAAAGGATAGACATTCAGGGAAATTTGTGAGATTTTTTTTTATACGAAAGACATTCTGGGAAAGCCTTTCAACGAAAGACATTCATGGAATGAGGGTCAGTGAACCACACCAGATACGGACCGTACCTGTTCATGTAACACCCGTAGCCTTCGTCGGTGAAGTTCTTTACCTTTCGCGCAGCGAGGTAGCGTGAGAACCTCACCCACGACTCCATCGGCTCGTTGGTTTTGCAACAGAGAACGTCGAGAAGAGCTGTGACCCAGGCCGCCTCCACGTCCGACGCGCCAGCAGCATGGTCAATCAGAGTCTGTGTCGTCGCCTGCTGCAGCAGCAGCGTCTGCTTCGCGAACGCCAACCAATGCTTAGCCGTCCCCAGCATGGCGACTGAATGCTTGCTTCTGCGCGTCCTTGATCCCGCTGCCACGTCGCCCGGTCTTGCCACTCAGACCTGCATGCTCGATGCACACGGAACACTTGAAGGCAGGAAGTCCATCGGGCGTTTTTTCAAGGAGGAGCCATGGAAACTCGTCTTGCCACTTCGTGTTGTAGCGGCGCTGCGCATCCGCATACTGCTCTTCTGCTGAACGCATGGGTTTGGTGGCGGAGGGAGGATCATCTTCATCGTCCTCCTCGTCAGAATCAGGCGCCCCGGATGCCTCGTTTCCCGTCATTTTCGGGCGAGCAAATGGAAGAGTGGTCTGTCTGTAACGACCGGAGCGCTTAGCCGGAGTACCAGCCGTAGTAGCCGGGATCTCGGGTTCAGCAGTGGAGGGGCCGGCAGTGGGGTCGCTGTTAGACCCAGCCGCAGCGTCACCTACAGAACCGCCAGCTGGCTGACAGGCGGGACTATGCACGGCGCTCCTAACCCTAGGCGGGATACGCGTCAGGCTTGAGAGAATGGAGAGTAACAAGTCTAGACCCGTGTGAGAGTCCAGGTGCCGAGTACTGTCAGGCTCGTCGGGGTCGCCTGGCTCGACCATGGCGTCTGCGTGCTGCAATGACTCGCAGACACAGAAAGACGAGGAGAAGTAATGTTAAGGGGAAAAGCAGGTGGGAGCAAGAAATGGCGCTAGCAGAAGGGGCGTTGCCGTGTGGGGATGAAAACGCCAGCCAATATGGGATGGTTGCATGCATGAACGCGATGTTCTGGTTCCCTTGTCCGCGCCGCCAGATAACCGCCACGTTCTGTCGCGCGAGGTTATTTGCAACTGCTGAACGTCGCTGGTCTATTGGCTGTCGAAACTGAATTTGGCTAAGTCCCAATCGCTGGGCGAGGTCCTGCTGTGCGCTGGTGCCAGAGTTGCATGGAATCTGAATGTGGTGGATGTAGAGTGGCTGCAATATGCCATTTCACGTAGATTGTGTGCGGCTAACTGTAAATTTGGCGTGATTGGCGGGGGTGTTACAAGGCTGGCACGGAAATTACGGGGGGGGATGGGGGAGGGGGAAGTAGATTCCGCTATTACAGGAATCAGGGCTGTACCGCGATATCAGGCGGACTCGTCAGGGTCCATAGCGGTTACACTGCTGATCAGTCAGAGTTCCCTTAAAAAAAAAGCTGAGAAATCAGGGTAGGTTGCACAAAATACCCTAGCAAGACAGGGCTGGTACCAGGCCCCCAAATTGGTTTTGGGCTTGTCTGATTCATCAGACTTGCCTGCCATCTCTTGGTATGGCTTTCAGAGTCGCCCCTTAAAAAAAGCCTGAAAAATCAGAGTAACAATAATTTATTTGTCTGATTAATCAGAGTTACCATTGTTTTTAACTCTGATTTCAAAGTTACTGTTTTGCACGTTACTTTTCCATTCCCTTCCCAACCGCTGCCCCTCAGACTTCTCCCTTGAGGGGCTTTCTCTCGCGTGCGCTACCTATCTGTGTTCTGGCGGCGGCATGGAATTTCGCAGCGCCCTAGGCCCGGCCCCGTGCCGGTGCGGGTGTGGTTGATCAGCGAGGCTCATGGCGAGGCTGTGCTGTACTGTACAGCGCTCTTTGCCAGGCCCGACAGAAGTTTTTTTACTTTTCTAATCTCCCAGACAGACTGACATACGAATTTTAAAATTTAGATGAGTCTTTCATGAGTTTCTATCCCCCCCCTCCCCGTTCCTTGTCTAGTAATTTTGCGTGCCTGAGGCACGCGACGATGTCGGTTGGTGGAGATACGGATCGTGGTGAATTGCGAATGGGGGGACGAAATCGAGGGATGGGGCGGAAAGGAATTGGGGGGCGGGCAAATCAAATTGCAGGGGAGGTAGGGAAATTGGGGCCATCCAGGTGGCTATTTCGTGAAGGGCCAATGGGTGCCCTCGCACACACAGCCTGCGGCACACCTCTGCAAATTTTTCGAAGGGCAAATCGGCCCCTCACACCGCACGCATCACAAACTGGGAGGTGATTTTGGTGAAGGACCAGTCAGCTCCCTCACACAGCTCCCACAAACTGCCCTCACAAAGCCGTTGATTTGGGTGAAGGGCCAATAACTGCCCTCACAAAGCCCCCAACACGCATCTCGCCCTGATTTTGGCTAAGGGCCAATCAGCGCCCCCCCACAGGTAAATCACGCTCCCCCCCAAACCTGGCATTACACAAATCAGAGTCGACCCCCCATACAGAGTTGAGGCATCAGAGTACACTAGTAAAAAAAGTCTGAAAATCAGCGTAGGTACATAAATCTTCTCTGAAAAATCTGAGTAAGGTACAAATAAAAGTCTTCCCAATCAGAGTACACCCCCAAAAAAACTCTGAAAAAAGTCTGAATCAGAGTAAAAAGTCTGCAATTTGGGGGCCTGGCTGGTACATAAAAAATCCCTGAAAAAACCCTGAATCAGGGTTTTGGCCTGAAAACTGGGGGGCCTGACATACACTAATAAAACGAAGTAGAGTAAGACAACGCATTCAGTAGTTATTGAATAGTCCATCAATCGACGTCTTGTCTGTCAAGCATTCAGTAAAA